TTCCTCCTGCTTCTTTCCGAGCTCAATTGCTGGATGCATGGTCGATTTCAAAAAAACGACCCAATGCTAAGGTGTTTACAGCGGTCTTTTATTTGAAGAGGTCTTTCAATCGAAGCGGTCTTTTATTTCTAGAACATTGTCGAAAATTCGATGGGGGCTTGTAATAGTAGAAGGTCTTCTATTCGTAAAAATCCGTTAGTAGCATTGTCGACACCCAGCAGAGCTTTCAATGGTATATAAACTTGTCACACTTGCGTTCAATTGTGCAAAATACACATTTCACTTTCTGTATCGTGCAAAACTCAGAGCCACCAAAGTATTTGTATTAAAAAGACGCTAAGACATCATAGTGAAGAGGTCCGTGGTATACGTAGAATTCAGTCTCACGTTAAGCAATACATCCAGATATTCATTTACAAAGCGCCATGGGTTTACGCTCTACACATAATTCATCCGATATATACATTTATTTCACCTCTGAAAAAGCCAATACTAAGCAAACTTAAGAGATTTCGGATCCTCGGATCCGCTTTTGAGTGTAGCATACAAGCCCATACTGAGTCCGTATACTACCGCAAATTTAGTGCGTCAGATAATTTCTATGAATAGCGCGCAGCTTAATTAATACCCATTTCCCCGGTGAAAACTAAATCCTGTTTAAATATGAAAAACAAGTGGGTTCACTACATGTATTCAAACCAAATAGACACGCCTTGTAAGCTTTTAAATGATGTAGGTCTTAGATTGGGGAACGACGGCACAAATACCAGAAGCGCTGGTGGTCTGCCTGGAAGCATTAAACATATATAAGAGGGCGCTGGTAGACATCACCAAGAACGCCTAGACAAGATGTCTTCAGGAAAACAATTGGCAAGCACCATGACGCAGCTAATGTTGAGCATTCAGGTCTCTCCGAGAGGGATGGAAAATTCTTTTTATCTCTCTCTCAACGACTAGAAATTGAGATGAGCGAGAGCTCAAATGTACTTTAAAAAGATTATTATATCGTCGCGCAAGCGGTCTTTACATTAAGACAATGAGCTTTTTATCGGACACTTTCATGCAAAACTTATGTAGAAGAGGCTCTCCGACATATACAGAGTTGAAGCAGCAGACATCGCAAGTGCTCGCACCTCCAAGCCAAGAGTACCTTGCACAACATTCTATTTGACCGTTGAGAGGAGGATATAAGCGGACTGTGTTCATTATAGTATAACTGCAGCGGGGCTGCCGTAGCGTTGCGCTTAGAGGAATCGTAATTGAGGTCACCGACCTTTCGTTCTATACTTTGAACAAGTACAAGTTAGCAGATCGTAATCCGCTTACTCCAAGAGTAATTATTGCCTTAACCCAAGGCTAATTACTCTTCCGCTTGAAATATAGAACCGATCTCTATTTATTTTAACTGCGGCAAAAAAAGCCGCCTGATTTTAAATGAATAGATTTTCTTAAATATATATATATAATAAAATCTAAATACATGCATCACTACTGGCTACCTAGCCACATACCGTATTCTTGTTTGGGTGCAGTCACACCATGCCC